AGAACGTAAAGCCTAGTTAATTGAAGACTTGAAAGAGGTTCACAAGGAAAAAAATATGCTTAAGGGCCTAGCTGGTATTACTAAGCTAATGGGAGGCTTCATTTGCAAGAAAATTACCAAAAAAGTTTTAAACCTATTACAATTGTGTGCTAATTCAGTCCTAAATTCTTTTTTTTTTGGGCCAATTGAGTTCTAAATTTTTTGCATTTGTGCCAATTCAATGCATCCAACTAATTTTGACCGAAAATCGCCGACATGAATGCCAGCAGTCCTATGTAGCACGGTCGATGACGCACGTTATCACAGAGTCCGAAATTTAATCCGCTTGCGAAAAATTTCATGCACGTGATACATTTCACTTGGGACATAACTGAAAACGATGGGTCGCATTGTACCCGAAGCAATTTTTTTTGTTTGGTGGAAAATATGCAAAGAGATCAAGATTAGTCACTTATGTCGGGTTAACGTACCAAGCCCACCAAATCCTTGAATGTCCCATTCCTTTCGGAGTTGACGTGCACCAAATTCAAATTGAAATTCAACTTGCTGAGCTTTTCTCATGGCGGATGGATGGAGACTACTTATCAATATTTTTTTGCCGTGCATGCCAACGTGATTCTCTCCCGGGCAATAAACTGCAATTGGCCTATTACAAAAAAAAAAACCGGTTCAATTTTTGTGTTCGACTTTACCATTGAAAATGGGAGGGAGCGTAACATCATTTAATTATCGAGCGAGACATGATGTCGATAGCTTCCCGCAAAAGTCCGTGCCGCATAGTTTTTGGTGATCGATCTTTTCTTGCGTGCGTGTGTAACGTTTTCTAGGAGGATTCTACGGTTGAGTTTAAAAAGAAAAAAAAAGGATTTTTCTGTGTTAGTAGATTTTTTAAGAAAATTGATAGATGGGAAAATGTTTTTTTTAAGAAGGTCACCAATCACCTAATTTCCTGTTAGCGTATTGATAATTTACTGACACCATAAGAACTTTTTTAAACTCTTTTTGATGGTTTGTAAGAAGATCAACTTCCTTAAATTTTTCAAACTTTAATTCGTCTTTCTTACCCCGACAATTTACCAACTCTTCTATGAACTAAACAATCTTCATTTGAGTTATTTACCAACTTATTTTATGATTAAATTACCAAATAATTTTGGATCACCAACTTTCATCTGAGTTACTTACTAACATTCATTTGTTGTTAATTTATCAATTTTGATATTTGTAATGTCTTACAAATGACCTAAATTTATTAATCCTCATAAAAACTTACCGACCTTTATTTGTTTGACCGACCAGCTTTTCTCACATTAGGATACCGACTAGTTAAGGTTCACAACTTACATTTGAGTTGTTACCAACATTTATTTGGTTTTTTTCGTTTTGCTTTTGCCAGCTTTTCTACCGAGTTACCATGAGTCGTTTAGAAGGGACATTGGATATACTGCAATTCGAGGTTTTAACTTAGCTTTCTTTGTTGTTTTCAATTTTTTTGTTTGGGCTATGCCAGGTTTCGAAGTTCATCGACCATCTCATACCTCTTTAAATTTCACTAACTCCAACACAACAGACCCAACCTGTTCTTGTCCTTTAACCGTTTCAGTAGATAAACAGTTGGTCGTTCTAGAAGGGATGACATTTAGGGCAATTCGCTGACTTTGGCCGGTTCCGTATTCTTGTTCTAAGCATAGAGCAAGTGAACTAGCTTCCGTTATTACACTCCCTTCACGAGTCTTAACTAGTTTCCTCCGAACTCATGATCTTGTCGTACTCACTGCCAGATCGATGTGTTAAATGCTAACTAAGCCTCTTGTCCCTTTGTTGATTCTGTTCGTCTTAGTTATATAACGAACTCGGACAACAAGAAGTTTTAACATCTTGTCCAGTCACGAATCCCCGTCGCTTGCTTTGTGCTCATCGTCTCATCATATGCTTCAAAGACAGCCCTAGCCAGCTTGTCCGATCTCTGTTGGCGTTTGAACATGAAGAGAAGAAGTCAAAATCAATTGGGGTCTTGTTTTGCTATGCCACATAACCTCCATGAGTTTAGTTTAGTTTATTCTCACATTCCATGTGCACGCATTTGTAGTTCTTTCTAGTTATTAGCAAAAGCGTGGTAACTAATTAAGTATCACTAAACACAATACACAAATCAATTGATAGTATAAGGATATATATTGAGCAAAATGGGTAAGTAATTGCTTTAGAGTATTCACTCAATAATACTCGAAGTTCAATAATCGTTTTGCTTTGCTGTATGGTAATAGTTGGCGAAAAGAAGAATCTCGTAATTTTAAACTGCTAAGGACACAAAACCCTACTAAGGGCCTATTTGGCAACTTCCCAAATGGTAAAAATTTCTGTTTTTTTGTTTCCAGAATCAGTTTAGGAGCAAAAATTCGTTTGTTAGATTTTTTGTGCCCGGGAACAATTTTGCAAAATTGTTCCCAGAATCAGTTTTGGAATAGAATCAAAAAGCAAAAAAAAGTAGCTTCTTGATTCTAGAACAATTTTTCCATTTCTAATTCTTCTTCATTTTCTTCTTTTGTTGTTGTTCTTCGGCTCGCCGACCGCTGGCAACTGGCCGCAGGCCAAGGTCGGCGAGGGCGACTCGCGGCCGCAACAGCGAGGCCTCGCCAGATCTAGGCGAGGTCGAGCCTCGCCCAGCCAAGGCGAGGCTGACCTCGCCGTCGCGACCGGTGAGGCCGGCGGCGAGGGCCGCGATGCCCTTACCGGCCCTAGCCTGTGGCCAGTCATCGGTGCCGGCAACCGGCCTTGGCCAAGGAAGAGAAAGGAAAGAAAGAAAGAAAAAAGAAAAGAAAGAAATATTAAAAAATTCAAAATATTATTAATAAAATGAAATTTTGTGTAGTTACCAAACACATTTCTGTTCTTTTTCTATTCTAAGAATAGAAATTTTGGGCAGTTACCAAACGCCTTCAAATGCTTAGAAATTATTTCCGGGCACAAAATAAAAAAGAATAATTTCTGAATCTGTTCCCGGGCACAGAACGGTTGCCATTCTCAGCCTAAATCATGCGCTTGGTAACCCCGCCTGCGCAGGTTGGCCTAAGTAAAGGGCCTGGTAGCTTTAAGGTCAAGCATAGCCCGGAAGATATCACAGCATGCCGGGCAACAAGTCAGGCAAATTGACTTGTTATCAGTTGAGATTTATATTTCGCAAGTGTCGCAATTGACTCGTTATACAACAACAACAGAATGACCGATAAACAAGATGTTCTCTCGTCTGATGGGAAGATCCCCAACCTAAGGAATTTCGGACTTGCTTTTGTAATTTTTTTAATGTCTTCAATTCATATATGTGCAAGATTACCCTTCAAGACTTAGGGGTTAACTCGATGAAACTTAATCTAATCAAACAATTATCCAATTGTTTTCCTAGAAGGAATTCTTGAGGGGTGACTCGGTCATTCGACAACTTTGTTGTTTCATTAAATTAGAAGATCTTGGTCTCCATAATCTCGTCCTAAATCTCTTGTTTCCCCCCATCTTGTTTATACCTTGTTATCTTCACACTTGCCAGATATTATTATGCTACTAAGCCGCTGTCCCTAGTTCCATCCTTGGAATAACGGTCTCCCTCGTTGATTCCTAAGCCTTAGTTACATAACGAACTCTCGAACAAAGACTATTAATATCTTTCTAGTTACGAACCTGTGTCTTTTGCTTTGTGTCCATCGTTGATCATATGCTTAGCTTAGTCCACCCTTGCCATTCTGTCCAATTTCGTTAGCATTAAAACGTGAACAACAAGAGGACAAAACGATGGGATCTTGGTCTTCTAGATCGAACAAGGAAGTGTACAACTAATGCGGACATGGACACAATGTACGTACAATTGCAATATAATTTTACGCTCCCCTGACTTGTTATTTTTTTGTTTCCTCTAAAAAACCGAAAAATCGAGGCTAAATTCTTTTTGGTTTCATGTGAGAAGTAAATTAGATCGACTCGAGTATGAGATGGAACTTGTTCCGATGATCACACCGTCATGCACTTTTTTTTTTTTTGCTAAAATTCACAACGTAATGCACTTGCCAACATAGTTACATGATAAAGCCCACAGATCGATTCATCAAGTATGACGAGCAAGTTTATAATTAGATCACTAAACTTCATAATAATGAAAAACCGGTTAAATTAATTTAATCCCTTTTTTTAGTCGCTTCAATAATACCTAGCAATAATGTTTTTCCCACAAATTGCATTGAGGGACGAGTATTCAAGTCGACGAATCTTGTGGTGAGCTTTGTGTACTTCTTTACGAGACAAAGATATCATTTCGTGATAAATTTTCAAGGTTAAACGTTGTGCCGGTTATTGGCTACAATCAGGAATTGAGAAATGCTAAAAATGTTTGAGTGACTTGGGTGCGGGTATCCGATTTATATCCTTATTCCGGTTATTATTATGTTTCATCGATTGTTTTCGTAGAAAAAAAACTATTTTCAATATGGAATTTCAATCTCTTTAACTGAACAAAAAAAACCATGCATATAAAATCTTCAACTCTTTTGGCCTTGAGTGAAACTGTTTAGTTCTATGATCCAATCAAAACCAAAAGTATAGTCCTATGCATTCGCAAATGTAGTTCCAAATGGAAGAAGAAAGAGAACAACAGGAGGAGTTGGCGGAAACAGACAAGGAGAGACTCTTGTGATCGCCCAAAGCCCGAGGACAGGAGTGAAGGGACAGAACCAGACAAAGAAGAGCAGCAAAACTCCAACAGACCCCACCGTCTATATTTACCGGGCAGAGGCAAAGCTCCATTCCCCAGCATCACCCACACGAGCGGTTCTTGATTCTTGCATGCACGCACTTCGATCTCTCCTCTTTGCTTGCCCCCCGCTTTCTCGTTTCTTCTCAGAGAGAGAGAGAGAGAAGAAGAGGGGGGGCACAGATTGTTAACTTCATCATCATCCTGGAGAGAGAGAGAGAGAAGAGAGGAGAGATATCAGGGCCAGATCAGTCTCCAAAATAACATAGGGACTCCGACCTGACCTGACCTGACCTCTTTTCTGTTCAAATATCACATAAAGTGGGAAAGTGAAAAGAAAGATGATCTCTCTCCTTTTTTTGGTCATCCAGGACTAGGAGGTGGTGCACGAAAATCGCAGGAGGACCCACTGTGTTCCCTGTCCTCAGCTCTGTTCCTATTTCAATCCTGTTGACACTTGAGAAATACCACCCCCACCCCTCTCTCTCTCTCTCCAACCATACCGTACGGGCAAGGAAGGAAGAGAGAGAGAAAGCAATGCGTTTCTGATTCATGTAACTCTTAGTTTTTGTTGGTTTCTGGGTCTGACCGGTGTTCGTTCCGGCTCTTCTGAAGAAGCAGCTCCCTACCCATTCTAACACGCTATCTGAAAAGGAAGGGTTAAAAAGAGAACCCAGCTTTTCCCTCTTTGGCAGGTGGTTCTTCACAAAAAAGATGAGCCTACAACACGTGAAAACTGCCTTTAACCACTTCACCGCCTCACAAGGCATCAACTTTCTGTTGCCTCCTCCTCAGATGGTGAGTTTGGTAGACGAGTTCGAGACACTGAGAAGCAGGGCATCGAAAAGCCCTTGTGGTGACGACAGAGAAGGGTTTGTCGTGAAGAAGGGCTTGGATTTGAATGTGTGCGAGGAAGAGGAAGAAGCAGAGGAAGAGATAGAAACAGAAGAACAGGAGCAAGAAGAGGAAGGAGCAGCAGCAACTAAGAGCTCTGGTCCTGGAAGGAACAGTGGAAGAACCAAGGTCTGTGCAAGAGGGCATTGGCGACCAGCTGAAGACTCCAAGCTCAAAGAGCTCGTCGCCAAGTACGGCCCTCAAAATTGGAACTTGATCGCAGAGAACCTAAAAGGAAGATCAGGTACATACACAACTACGGAGAAGATAGAGGTCATTTTATCAAAAGAAGTCCCCTCAATCAAAGTCAACTGAAATTGAATCACATAAACAAAAAAAGAAAAATTTTCTCTTGTTCCAAGAATTGTTTATCGTTTTCTTGATTGTGGGTATATATTGCAGGGAAAAGTTGCAGGCTTAGGTGGTTCAACCAGCTCGACCCGAGGATCAACAGGAAGCCCTTCAGCGAGGAAGAGGAAGAGAGGCTCTTGGCTGCCCACAAGATGTACGGCAATAAATGGGCCATGATCGCCCGGCTCTTCCCCGGCCGGACAGACAACGCTGTAAAGAACCACTGGCACGTGATCGTCGCGAGGAAGCAGAGGGAGCAGTCCAACAACGCCGGTGGCCGGAGGAGGAACCACAAGCTCCTCCCTCACCTTCAGACCAGAGGGCTCAATAATATCGCGTCGGCGGCGAAGATAAATCATGCGTGCAGCGACTCCACGACGATCTCGAGCAACTTGAACGAGTCCGCTGTGTCGACCTGCACCGAACTCTCCCTCACTCCTTCTTCAGCCAGAGCACCGGCTCTTAGTTTTGCTCGGCCCTCGGAGTCCCGGATGGGTACTTTCAATCCTCGTCCCCTCAAATTTTTACTTAGAAGTTTTATAGAATTTCAACTTGTTAGTTTCATAAAATTCGACTCCGAGCATGTTTAAGTTCTACGCTGTGTGTGTTGAGATATCTCTACTACAGACCATCACGTGAGTCCGAGTCTCGAGAGGGCTCTCTTTGCTTGACTCATTTACTTATGTGTATTTTGTTTAAGTCCATATTCTTGAATCTTCACGGCCTTGTTTTTCTTTCCTGTTTTTGTTTTCCGTTTCCTGAATCACTCATTGCAGGTTCATTAGCTAAAAGGCCAGTAAGGTTCTGCAATAACATCAGAGCAGGCACTGATAGTGATGATCATAATGACAACAGTCCTAGGACACAAGGGACAGTGACCGTTGGCCAAGAAGCTGATCATTGTGTAGTCTCGGACACGAACTCAAACGCCTCAGCAGCCGAGTCCATGTGCAACGGCAATCACGGGAGCAATCACATGAGTCTCTCTCCAGTATCTGTTGAAACCGAGGAGAGTGGGACCGAAGATGACAAGATCGACTTGCCCTTCATTGATTTTCTTGGAGTCGGAGCTGCCTGAGCCTGACCCTAGCTCTGAGTGTGGTTTTTCGGTGCACAGATAATTGAGAGGGAGAGAGAAGAAGAAACTGGAAAATGCATTGAGTGCGAGTTATGTTATTGATAGTTCAAAAGCAATTACTAGTTACTGTAGTAGTAAGACTCGGAGTTACTAGCTACTTTTGTTTTCTGTCAGCATGTGTGTCAACAACACAAGGAAAAAGCCACAAATTTCCCTTGAGATAGTCTTCAAATTAAGGAATGAACCCACACCACTGTATCTTTGGCATGGCCCTATTACTACAAGACCTTGCGGTCAATAGAGCTTAGCTTTTACCAGCAAGTGTTGTCTCTCTCTCTCTCTCTCTCTCTCTCTCTCTCTCTCTCTCTCTCTCTCTCTCAATATTCATTGATTAATGATGCTATGAACATTTACTGAGCATCATCCTACACGAGTTTAGGATGAACTCTTCAAAGAGAAATCCATCATTAACCTAAGAATCTAGGATATGTGCACAATCCATGCAGCAATACACAAATTACACAAGCAAGGTGAAGTTTCACCAAGCGTCCATACTTCGTTGTCGATAGGTGGTTGAAGCACACGTGTGAGGAGATCTAATGGCCTTGTGCAGTTAACTTTTGAATGGGCAGCGTCCTATCTTTGACTTCTGAGCACTTCGATGTACGTATGAATGAGGTCCACAACTCGCAACGATGGAGCAGTGCTCATAAAAGATTTTCATCCTGATCCACGTTTTCGGGTCAACTTTGGATTGAACAGATGAAATGGGGTCGTACACTGCAGAACCGTGCCAAGAATCATGCTGAAGCTTCGTCCACGATCGTCTTGTGGCCAGCACCGACAACTGTGATGTCGATTTCAGAGGTGAAAACCGAAGGGACCCATGTTTGACTGGAGCTTTCCTTCCTAGGAATAGAGGAGGTAACCGTTTCGGATTCGATGTCGTCCGCCTCCGAGTTTGGTGAAAGATCTCCTCCATAATTCCTTTTCGCTTTAGGAAGACGTGAGCGAACTCTCGGGTTGCCCGGCCTTCCAGAGCCCCGGCTGAAGAAGACGGCGAGGCAGGGTTGGGTCGAGGAATGACATCTCGAACTCGAACCTGATCGGTATCACCTTCCCAAATCTGCTCGAGGCTCTCTAAACACGGGAAGCGAAGCCCAAGTCAAGAAGGGCACTGGAAGATTAGATCCGTCCCTTCTCGAGCTAGGCTTGTCTTCCTAACTCTATCGATTCGGTAATCAAAGAAAGAACGGGTAAAGAAGAACATGATTAGTAGTACTAATTTATCGAAAATGAGATTTGCTAGATAACGATATGTTTGCCCGACAAAGCTACGCGGAACATGGAATGAGAAGGCAAATATAACATAACACACTAACACCAAAATGATTAATCCTACCGTGAAGGTTTCATATCAACCTAAGCCTCCATGACGCCGTTTTGTGCGACTTTGGGCCTGAGGGGAGGTACAGTGAATTGGGCCTGAGAGGAGGCAAAGCTTTTCCTTTTCAAGGCCCGTTGTATAATGATCTTTCGTATTATTCCCATTTATTTTCCACGCGTCATTCCCTCTCTCCTTCCCTTCCTCCTTAATCCTTCCCTCTTCCTTTCATATATCTTTTTTCACTATTGTTGACACCTAAATATTTTTCCAAAGATTATATTTACATATTTCCGAAAAATTGGAACTTGTTTTTCTACAAAAATATTTCATCTTTAGGCATTCAATATAGTTTCTTTAAATAGGATTAGTTTTCTTCACGTCTACTTTCCTGAAAAAAAAAGAAAAGGAAAAGGCGAGGGCCAAGGTTCTGAGTGTAACTAGCCAAGACCTGAGGGGTCAGATTGCAATTGAACCGGCAAGTTGGGGCCAAAAAGCAATTTCCAAAAGTTATGGGACCAATTCGCAAATTTCACAAAATTCGCCCCAAACCCTTAAATGATCTTTTTTTATTATTTAGACCCCTGCTTGAAATTGAACTTGAGCTGGGTTGAGTTAATCAAATCAAACCAAAAGGACCAAATTGAATCAAATAGAGTATTCTTGGGCAAGAAAATGACTAACTTTGAGGGACTTTTTTTGCAAAATTGGGAAAAGAAACTTGCACAGTATGGTCAGGGGCTTCAAGTACTACACACCAGCTTGCTAATTGACCAAAAATTGAAGCCAAATTGATGGATTAAAGAACTAAAACCAGCTGTCAAACCCAGTCCACGATTTTGCCACAATTTGAAGCTGTTGAATAAGCAACTTCATGGCCCCACCATATCCTACTCAGCTGCCCAATTAGTCCGATCTCTAGCTGAGGTGGAAGGTGACCATTAGATATGCAAATAGACAAAAATTGGCCATGGATAAGCTGATGAAGGGGCGCGAAAATCTCAACCAAATCAGCCAGCTCAATAGCGGTGCAAGTTTGAAAATGACCAAGTTCGAGAGTTGATGAAACGGCTTAGTTGGCAGCCTTGGTGTGTGGACAAGGACCAATCAAAAGCTAGCTTGATTCAGTTGATAAGCTCTCTCAAGCACGCTCTTTTGAGACATTGAAGGTTGAAGACGAGGCACTTGACCTTCCCAAACCACTCAAAAAAGAAATTTCAGACTGACCCTTTGAAGGAAAAAGAAATTTTCACGAACTTTCGACCAGAACTAGCCTAAACCTTCAACTAGAGAGTGAAAGTAAACTCGAATATCTTTTCAACCATAGGTTGCACGCCCCAAAAGGAGATTGGGAAGGCACCCAATATCCCCCCCGAAAAACACCCTATTCACAGGTCATGGCAAAAGTGTTGGAAGGCTGGTCACTGGCGACGGAAAGCGAGAGTTTTTTTAGAAAAATTAGTGACATTAGAGGCAAAAGATGAATTTGAAATTAAATTAAGATTTGTCTAGTTGAAGTCGATGTCATTTTTGTAGGCAAGAAAGGTCCTTGAGTCACGTCTTGGAGGCCAACAAAAACCTTCATGGACGGCTTTCTTCCTTGCATATCTCATTTTCCAGTTTGAAGGAGCCAGCTTCCAAGTTCCAAGCACCTCCAGAGGGCAATTCTTGGCTTCCTCGGCCAAGAGCCGCTCCACGCAGCAACTAAAAAGCAATGTTCAAGTTTGACCATGGTTTGACGATGAAAAATCAAGAGAAAAACCAGTTCAGAAAACTGATTTCTGAGGATGGAATTTTTCTAGGTGTTGAAGCCTCTTCTAGACAATTTTTCCGAGTCTTGCATGTTTGACTTGCTATGCCCCTTTGCATGCATTATTTGTTTTCGTGAGCTTGATGAACGTTTTATGGGGGTAAAAATGATGCTTAGGTCAGCTTGATTCGGTAAATCTCTGTGCGAACCATGAGAACCAAAAACTGAGTTGATCCACATGGCTGGCCAGTGTGGATTATGTATGAAGGTTACTTTGAGAATTGCGTTTGATGTGTATAGTTGATCATTCCCCTAATTGTGCATCACATTTAAATTTTCATGTTACCTACTTGTATTCGGATCAAGTGAATTTTCTCGTATGTCTCGAATGTGAAAGTGTCGGGGCTTGAATCTGGCCATGCAACCAATTTGGTTGACCTGGGTTTAAACCCAGTTTTACAAAAACAGGTCAGACTCATAACTTTGAGGATAATTTCAATCGTGTTAGTGTATATTTAGGATGATATGTTCTAGTATATCCTTGAGACTTTAGTTCTGCTTGATATCGCTTATAGGTCAAGATTGAAGGCCATGAACATGGCCCGAGGTAACTGGTGTAGGTGATATAATGTGCATCAAATGTTCGACGAAATGCTCAAACCAAGTTTCAATCTTGAAAAGGTTGATTTGAGCTTAGTTATTGTGATTTTCCTGTTCAGAGTTGGTCTCTGTTAATGTAAATCAAGCATAGTTCGGTTTAATGAATTGATTTTTTTTTCAAAAATATTAAAAAATTAAAAATCAGGAAATTATTCAAAAAAAATCAAAAAATGTAGATTAGTGCTAAATTAGGGCAGTAATGCCATATCAATAATCTTCCTAACTTTCTAGAGTCACTTTCCTAATTTAGTACATTTTTGGTATTTTATAATCATTTTTGTAAATAATCCTTTTTGCATGGATTAGAATTATATAGTGTAATTTTACGTAGTTTCATATTTAAATTTCCATTTAGCTCATGGGGGATCATATCCCGGGCTTAAAACATGGCTATTTATATTCTTTGCCCGACAAGTATCGGGTCTACATTTCCGTGCCTTTATTTAGGCACTTTCAACACTTGGTTGTTTCACTACCACTCCAAGCTTCAATAAAATTACTTGTTGATTTCTTTTCTAGAATGGTTAAGTCTAGATTAGGATCACAATGAATACCCTTCAAGAAAATTTGCATGATCATTTAGTGGCTTTGATACCTTTGGGATCATAATTGATAATTGATAATTGAGATTGTATGACCACTTAGATAACAAACTTCCAAGTTAATGGTACCGAAAATGGCGTTAATAGAAATATTAACATAATAAAGTCCTCGAACTAAAATTTCTAGTTGCATAGAAAATGAGATGGCATCCCGTTTGGTTTCTAGCCGATCCCAAAATGGTTAGTGGCGACTTCTAGAAAATTTTAGGTTGAAAAGAACTTCAAATGAAATCCAACATCGCACGAGGTATGGGCTTTGGAGAGCCCGCGCCTAATGGTGGGCCAGCCTAATCGAGGGCCGTTGGCCCGCCACTAGAGAATACCCCTAGACTCATTTATTTTTCCCCCGATGGAAAAGAGGGTTGCAACAACTATAAATTTCAAATTTTTTGATATTATATCTTTATTACTTAACTAGCAAAAGTGCACATGTATGAAAAAATTGACATTGAAAAGATTTGAAAAATTGCCTAATTGTAAAGTATATGCATTATTAATTAATTGAATGAAATAAATTTACATAATATGAAGAAATTTTAAACATATATGTGCAAAAGAAAAAAATTTCAAGGTTTGAACTTATTTTGGTAAGGTTGCTTATACGATAGAAAATACGTTTTAAAATTGAAATACGCTAGAGATGAAATACAATTTTCAATTCAAGCATGCGTCCATTGATAGGATGACTTATAAAATAACTAATTGAGGATGTTTTGAGGATGAATCAAAGAATTGTGATCCCTCAGGAGGCCCTCTTTGCTTTATCTAATAGTGGATTTTGCACCTTTCCTTTCTCCTTTTTCTCTGCTTTCTCATAAGTAGATAATTTTTTTTTCATATCTTAAAAATAAATTTGAAAAATTTAAATAGGTTTGCATTTTTATTTTTCTTATTTTAAAAACTTGAGAGATTCAAATCTTAAATA